CCGCAGGGAGCGGCTGCGAACGGGGAGGTGGCTCGGCAGAGCTCCACGCACAAGCCACGGGCAGGCACCAGCAGCGCAGGCTGGTGATTTTTGTCTTTATGTATCAGACATCTGCCGTCTCATCCTTTCTCTCCACGTGCTACAGATCTCAGGGGGTGGCTGGAAGGCCCCCGGAGTTCAGCGGCACAGCAACAATTAGGGAGAGAAATGATTTATCTTCCAAATCTTTAAAAAAAAAAAAATTATAAAAAATTGCTTAGAGTTTCATTTTCCAGCACAACATTTATGTAAAGATTTACTACCCAGAACCCAGGGAGGGCAAGAGAACACGTTGCTTTCCACTGTATTTCAAGCCCACGGTCAAGGGGCTTCGCTGCACTAACCCACCCCCCAGGTCCTCACCCACCACCAGCCCCTTCTGTCCCACAGCTCCTTGTGTTCAAGGGTGACTCCAAGAGACAAATATTTAACCCTTTGCTTCTGCTGCCTGCCATAAATAACTAAACGTCCCCGGTGGAAGTACCCAAACTCTCCTCTTGGCCAAACCCCGGGATCGGGCACAAACAGGCAGAGGGAGGCTGGGAGCCCTGCACATCCCAGCCCCGGCTGAAGCCAGCGCGGTGTCACCACTGGGGACCTGACCTGCGGGACGGCAGACGGGGGGTGACACAGCTGAGCCTTTTGTACCCCCCCCCAGACAGAGCTCAGCTCAGCTACAGACCGACCGGCCGGCCGAGCCGCACAGCAGCATGCAAAACTTCTTCAGACATTAAAAACAAAAGCCCTTGTTGCTTTATGCAATCTTTGAAAAAGGCAATTTTTTGCAGTGGGGCTCCCATTTCACTTTTTTTTTTTTTTTAAAAGAAGTTTACAGGGAATTTGGCAGAGCCCCGCACTCGGATGAATCCGAATGTGAGCCAGAGCCCGAGGGCATAAAAGCCAGCACATGGAGACGGCCTGTTTCAGTGGTATCAAGCTCTGAATGTTGCCAAAACCATCATTTCCATCTCCTTCTTAGAGCACCTATCAATAAAATAATTAACTGCCAAATTAGTGCTTTGAAATATAGCAAAGCAGCCAAGGAGCAATAATGCTTTATACTAAGATGCTGTCAAAATCCACCAAAAATTAACTCCAGCCCCCCAGAATGATGGAAAATAAAATATAAATTCATTTTCCTACAAGTGGGTTTCACCATGTACAGTTCTCCCTATTCGGGACGGAGATGACCCTCCCTGCTCAGGTTCCGGCTCTGCTCTTGGCATGCCGTCCCGACAGAGCCGCAGAAAATCTCTCTCCTTACGTTTGACTGCGTTCAGAACCCTGCTGTCCAGGGGCTTCCTGCTGGGATCGCTGGTGGAGGACCGGATCCCAGTTCCGCAGCTGTTGGCAAGCGTGTTCCTGCAGGAAAGGCAGAGGGAGAGCCTTAGGGGGGGGATGCCAGGGGACAGCCACCACCTTGCATCACCGCCTGACACGATTTTAAAGTCAGGGACTGGAAAACCTTGTGCTCAGGTTCGAGCATCATTGAGAAAAAGCACAGGCATCGGAGCAGCACAGGCAGAGGATGGAGCACTCGCGACACATTATCTATTCACGTGGTTAAAACACCAGAAAACGAACCGAATCCCTCGGGAGAGCACCAAAGCGCGGGGACGTACCGATCGAAGAAGGTGGCCAGGAGACGTCTCAGAAGGACCTTGTGCTTGACACCGGCACATAAGTGGCAATTCATCAGCTGCCCCCGGGTGATGTAAACACCTGAGCCTGGAGGGGTGGGAGAGGAGAATTCCGAATTAAACCCTCGCAAAGAATCCCAAATGAAACCCTCGCCTCGCCGGCAGCACTGCCTCCGACCCCCCCAACCTGCTGCCCCCGCGCCGGGGGTCCCGAGGCTGGGGTACGGCAGGGGCAGCGGGTTTTTCACCTGCTGCTATGAAAGCCCCCCAAGGATGGCAGGATTGTTCTGGAAAAGCCCAGCAGGGACGGTTATCGCAGTCCCTTGGGGTCTTGGCAAGCCCCAAGTAATCATAATTCCAAATTTTATGTGTACAGAAAGGAAGTATCTGGAAATCATATGAAAGGATTTCTTTCAAACACACCCAGTGCAAGGCTTTACATTGTGATTTCATATGTACAGAGCAGATTATTTATTCTTTCTGAAGGGAGCAAACCCCAATCCATTTCGATTTTTCTTTTCTCAAGTGAAAGGTTGTAAAACACACAGCAAGAAAGAAAAGAAAAACCCACCCAGCCCAGGAAAGGGGCTCGGTTACTCTGCAGCTCTGTTTCCAAACCCCATCCCCTCCTGACACCCTGGCGAGCCGGGAATTCTCCTCTGACTGTGAAACACGCCGCCCTGAAGGATGCTCTCCAGGAGAAGAAGGAGCCCCTGCCGAGGCGGCGTTATGCGTCCCGGGGTCTGGCCGTGCCTCACAGCAGGGTTCTGATCAAACCTCCCCCTTCCCGCAGAGCTCAGGCAGACCAACCCTCCTGGCTGGCAGGGGGAGGTCACCCGAATTTTCAAGCGTCCTGTTATATCCGAGGGCTTTGGGATTTGCTTTTAATTCAGATTCAATAATGGGGCGCATCTGGATCCAGCACACGCTTGGTTCTCAAGTTATAAAAACATCTAATGGAGAAATAAAGTTACTCCTGGATTGGCAGGAAAGCCTGGGGAGGATTGTCCCTGATCTGCTGGGTGAAGACAGACCGGTCCTGCCCTGGAAAACAGCACGCGTGGCTCCGGATCGCCCAGCCATCCCGCTTCTCGCCGTCTGTCTCCCCCGTCTTCTCCTCCCCGCGCAGCATCTCTCCAGCACCGGACCACCGGGACCGCGAGGATCGCTGCTGACCCTCTGGGAGAGAGCTGCTGGAGTTTGCAGAATCGATCACAGCACGGAAAACCCCAGACAAAAGGGAAACACTCCAAAGGGAGAGCGGAGAAAAGGTTCGCTGCAGGATCCTCCAGCGTGCTCCGGGGTCAAGCCCCCTCCAGGTCCCACCAGGCTGGAGGCAGCAATTAGCTGCAGAGCCTTCGTCAGCAGCGGTATTGTGAGAGATGAGCCATCAGAGGGAACGCCAGGCGCTAACCGAGGGTAACTTCACTTTAACACGTAAAAAATAACCGAGGCAGGCACTATGGGTTAGAGATATTCATCTGCTTTTTTTTTTCCAGATTGAAAAACTTAAATCAAGCAGAGCTGCCTCCAGCCAATTTGCAGCTCTTGCCGTGAAAATAACCTGCCCCACTTGAGGGTTTTAAGAAGTCTCACAGAAAATGTAAATGGGCACAAATATTCCAGATACAAAATAAATACTCGTGGTTGTACGCTGCGTTACACCTGCGTTACATCAAAGACCCGTCCTCCGTCAGATGGAAACCTTCCTGCGCATCCCCTGGAATTCAGATTCCTGAAAATAAAATCGTGCTGCTCTCCAAGAGACAAATGACCAGAAAAACGATTTGGACTGATTGCGCTGCCCCGTGTCCTTTTTGTACCAAGGGCTTTGCAGGTATTCATGAAACCTCCGGCCCGGAGGGATGGGCTGTCGTGCAGAGATCGCTCCATCTAACCACAGCCCCATCCCGGGGAAAACCCTCACAGCAGCATGGGCTATATGCTGAGGGGAGCACTGCAGCAAAGTGAAGCTGGGGGCAACTTATAAAAGCAGAATATAATGATTTAAACTGGAATTTGAGCTGGAGACCCCAGTCAAACATCCATCTTCCCTGCGGCACTCAGGGTACGTGCGCCACGGGCACCCTTTCACCACGTCTGGATTGCACCCTTTACCCAGCTCTACACCACCAGCACCATCTTCCACCTCCAGTTGCCCATAAATCCTTCACAGAGAAGCAGTGAGTTCTCCCAATATTGTAAATTTTCCCCAAAATGAAAACAAAGACAGAAGAAAGGACCAAAACTAATTCCTTCTCTTCCTTCCTGCTGCAGCGTTTGACAGTTTAGTGACACCCCCGATTTTTAAAACACTTTTACAGGTTTTTTCAAAGCTTGTTCACTGCCACAGATTTTATCTCCGTGGCTTTGTAAATCTCATAACGCGATAGGGTTTTTTGGATCTGTGCATCTAAATCACCGTTGCGATGCAGCCCACACCAATCAGGAGGAACACAAGCTGGAGAATTCAATTAAAATGCTAAATTAATTCAATTGAATAAATCCTGTTAATGACACATTTTTCTATCAGCAAATTAAAGGAAACAGAGAACTTTTTTAAAGACGATTGGCGATGAATAATCCAGAAAGACACAGCAAGGGCACACAAGAGGCACGACTCCGGCGGCGGTGCCAGCAGGACGAAGGACACGTCGCAAGAAGGCAAACAGCAATCCCCAGGCGTTCTCAAGCAAAGAAAAGTTTACCCCCTCGTTACCTGCAACCAGCTCAAGTTTTTCTCCAGGATCTCCCTCCGAGTAGAGCTTTGGGTGGCAGCGGTATCCGATTTGACTGATGAGACTGGCGGGGAGAGCAACCAGATCCCGTCGGATGAGCACACAGGAGCGGTTCTCCAGTGGGATCTGCTCCGGCTTCTCTTGAGCAACTTGAAAATTAAAAGGGAAAACCATTAAAACGGTTTATTATGCAGGCATAACATTCACAGAAGGTCAGGTTTTGATTTTTTCCCGTTGCCGTTGGAGATACTCGTCCCTCCGGCAGCACAACCACTTGCCAGGGCAAGGGCCACTGGCCACCGGGCAGATGCCACCTGAACGCCTGGAGGGATCCCCCGGTCCCCCCATCATCCACCACCGCAGTCTCATATGCGCGTTCGGGTTCTGCAAGAGGGATTCTTAGACTGTAATTATGTTTAACTTTTCCCCAGTTTATCGTTTATGACCCGGGGCAGCTCTGCACAGCTGGCATCGTTCTGCAAGCGCAGCACGTGGAGCTGGCTTCCCCAAACACCCCAGACCTACGGCAGGTTCCTTCACCAAGGTTCCTACACAGGCAATAAACTGCCTGAGTTTGATAAATACCTGCACCAGCACCATAACTACTTCTC